AATAAAGTGACTTTTGGTATGTATGAAAACGTCAGTGGAAACAGCAGAAACATGATGCCCATCACTAACTCCACATGTTACATACCGTGCATTGGATAGATGATGGCAGACACATGTTGGATGACAAAAACTTCTAATTCCTAAACATTTTTCATTCCTCAAGATGATATATTGCTCTTCACTTACAATCCGTAGTGGCCTCATACAAACATACACTGCTTGTTTTCCATCTACTTTCCAATCCCCTGCATTCCAGCTAACAACATTGACAGGCCAATGGATTTAGTCAACGGCACTGCATTTGCGAAGCATACTTTTATTTTGTTTTCCTTTTTTCTTTTTCTCTCACTCTCTTTTTTTCCACCTCCCTCAGGAGACAGATACAAGAGCCCGCATTTTTAAATTCTAAGTGAAAAAATTTCTGCACTTAAACCATTTTTCATGCTGAAGTTCTATATTCACTTCAGTAGTTATGCTAAGTATAAAATAGAAGATCAAAATGAAAGGGTCAGTAGAGCAAGGTGCAACAATAAGTCTGAGTTCACTTTACAGAGATGGTACTACATGACTCTGACCAACCCACACATAAAAGCAGAGTTTAGCTGCCCTATGATCACGACATTAGAGTGAAACATTTTAGCAGACCCCCGAGAATATCTAGAAGACATGCAACTGAGTAAGAGTGCACTGATGGGAGCCAAAATATACATTGGAAAACATGGATGGTCGGACATTCCCACCTTGAATTGGCTTCATAGAGATTTGCTTTCTAAAAATATGAGACTATATTTCTCCAAACCAACAATTAATAGAAAAAGGAAACAGAAAATAAAATGTGAAGCAAGGTGATTTTGTGCCTTCTCTTACCCCAAGGCAAGATCACCTTTACCCATGTCACCTCGACTAGTAGAATGGAGACAGGAATGCTAGACAGGCTTTTATGAAGTATTTCATGAGAATAATGCAAATAATTGTGAATATTGAAAGAATAATTTGGCGTGCACAATTATTTTCTCATTTCAAAAGTAAAAAGTCATGCAGTTTCTCATTTAATGTATCCAGCTTCAAAAACGCAAGGATTACCAGTGACTTTTTCCTGACGAATAAAAGAGCAGTCTGCAGTTTGTTATCAATTATTTTTACCTTATTTTGGACAAACCAAGAGACTGAGACCTCTCTAATCTCCCACAGTATGATCTGCCTAAAGGACAAGCATTCTTACAGCTCTTTTTCCAACATCTTTTTTTGATGAGGCCACAGCTTTCCTACATCATGCTCTATACCCACTCTAAATGTTCAGTCTCATCCAAGTCGCCACCTCCCTGCTCTTGCTGGCATATCTTGGGATAACAGAACATAGACTAAGATACTTTATAGCCACAACTTTGCCAGAGGAATAGATTTTCTGTCACTGTCTTTTCTTAGGACACCACCTGTAAATCAAGCTCCCTCTACATATGTTATGGTTCCAGGAAAAATAAGCGATGAAGAAATTAGCTGAGAGGGGTGCATTAGCTGATGTTAGTCAGATCAGGCTGACCTTTCCTGAAGAGGAATGATGCTGAAGTTGATGCTGAAGTTGAGGCCAGTCCCCGAGAAAGTACTGTAGCCATGTCACCCGGTAGAATACTGCTGCAGAAAAATCTTCCTTTATGAAGTCCATGACTCAGTCATTTAGCCTCCCTTCCTCTCACTACTATCACTTGTACAGATTAAAGCTCAGTTGCAAAGCAGCACAGTTCCTCATATATGTTGTGAGTGTTTTACCAAGTGACCCGGTGACACAGAGAAATTGCGAAGCACTGTGAGCAGAGCAACCAGAGCAAGTCTGGGAAAGGGCAGAAGACAGGATGAGCGCCAAATTCTCCATCTATCCCTGGGGCACAGTTCACTACATCAGTTTAGTGAAGCAGTGAAGCCTCCACTTCTCTGGCCCTAGCAATATTCTAGGTATAAGTGGTATTAATTCCATTTCTAGTTTTGTGCCTACCAACTTTGCACTTGAAACATCTCTGGTCAGGGTCGTCCTTTGCCTCCTGGCTCAGGTGTTACAGTGGTTCTCTGCGAGGCAGCACTGAAGGACTCCTGGGATCAAACGGAGGAGAGGGGAAGCAGCAAATGACATCTAACCTTTTTCCCTCTTTCCTTTCTCTCCAATTCTTTTTATCCTTCTTGTGCTCACAGTGCCCTTCATTTCACTTCCCAGTTGGATATTTCCCTTCCCCACTGCCTGACATGAATTCAGTCTGTTGGCCTCCAAAGTAGAAACAAAATTAACTGCTCAAAATTCTAAGGATTACCTTGGAGCTCCTGGGACTGTAGAAAATATTCTTTTCCAAAACAGTGCTTTCAATGAGACCCTCAGCCCTCTACCAGGAATAGCAAATGTGTTAAAGTCTGGATATGGTGTTCACTGTAAGAGGTAATTAAATCTAGCTCTCAACTAAATTCTCTCCATGGACCTGGAAATGAATAAATGTAGCACCAAAATGAAGTATTTGTTGTGTCTGTTCACCCTTTGTGCCACTTCTGTAAAGTAGTAGAAAGAGCCTGGTCACAGGATACAAGTAAGAACATGACATTAACTTTCACCAAAAGGCACAAACTGCAGGGGGTTTTCAGGTCTTTCTAGTGTTGAAGTTATTGGTAAATGCTACACCCATATGCAAAAGGTATACGAAGGCCCCATAACTGAGCCTGAAATTAAATCCAGGCTACTGAGTGGATTCTCTCTACTCAAACTCTATGCTACTCCTCTCAACCTCAGACAAGAGGTGGAGCGAAAAGAGGTTTGCAGAACACTCTTCTGGCTTCAAAAAACTAGTTAAGACCCTACTGCAAAATGGTCTTATTTGCTAGGACTTATTTCTTGTGGGCGATGCCAAGTGTACTGTATGGCTGCTTTCCTTTATAGCTGCAGTGCTGGTGCACTAAAGGAGGGGTGGATATTTTGTGCTACAAAATGAAGGAGTGGGTTATACCGTGATTTCTTCCCTTACACTGCTGATTTCAAAAATTAAGGTTTTTATTTCCTAAAGAAACTTGGAGAATGAGAATAACACCTAGTTTAATAAAAAAAAAAGTAATTTTTGTCTTGCTTTAATCATATTGGGCCAGTACATAAACATTTTAATATATGGCTGAAATTTTTCCATCTTTTTTTTTCAGCAGCTTTCCCTTCATATGTCTACACAGCTACACACAATAGAAGCACCATTCAGTGAATTTTACATCCTTTTAGGAATGCAAAGCATGTAAACAAATTGCATGTTCAGATGTATTTTTGCGGAGCAAGTATCTTCAGGATAAAATTAATCTCTAAGCAGATCCTAAAAGAAACCATAGATAGAACTTTAATTGTCTTTCTATATTTAGCCAGTGCTGCAATACATTCATGTGGCAACCAGCTTTATCGTTATTCACAGAGTCATGTACGTAACTCCATGAATCCAGTTCACCAAGGATTAAAATTTAATATTAAATCACTATAGCCGTACTTCAGTCTATGCCTTCAGCTGGTATCACTTCTGTGTGATACCAGTAGTTCCCCAGCCTGGCATGAACTATGGAGTGATAACCGCAGCAAGCAGTGGAGAGTGGTGCCAAGGCTCCCACTCTGGTGCCAGCAGGGCTCCTTCAGGGTGTGGAATAGGTAATGCAAGTACACGGCTTTGGGGACCTGCACTAGCCTTGTTTCATGACGTCACACTGTGCCACACTGACACTGCTGGCTGCTTGGAGGCAGCCTGGGGATTTCTATCACAGTGCTGCACTGCTTCATGGAGTCATGATTCTACAGTGTACTATGACTCAAAAAAGCCAGGAGAGAATATCTGCGATGAAATATCTGGCTATATATATATGTATATGTAAATGTAAAACATCAACAAGCCACCTTAAACTTGATCATTTAAATGTGAAAAGCAAAACCAAGGAAATTAAAAATGTCAACAACACCAACTCCTGACACAAACAGATGCTTTCTTAATTAGAAGTGTATATATTTGTGAATTGTTATTCTTTTCAGCTCTGAGAAAAAGCACAAATATGTTAGCATCTGCATCAATTTTAAGTGGGCTTTCTGGAGGGGTTTTGCATTCATAGCTTAATAAGAGCAGCTCTGATTTATGCACTGACAACAGAGCAGACTTATCAGTTCTATCAGAGATGACCTAGTTATGAATTAGTGGACTCCACACTGGTTATTTACAGTTGCAGCTTGAAGAAGGTGACCTTTCCCTTACCTGGAAAATGCTCTGTTCTTTTGAGAAGTGCATAAAGAGCTGCACTCTTCAACAAATCTAACCACACTTATGGACAAAAGAATCACCCACAGAAGATAATTTATCACCTTCTGTACTTTCTTTGACTCAGAAATCTGCCATGACTTGAAAAAGGCATGCAATAAATACGTATTTCCCTCAGGTGTTAGACATACTTAATCTATACTTTCAATTAAAATCAAATTAATACCTTGCCATTCAGTATTACTTCTATTCCCCCATGCTTAGATTTAAATCTGTGGAATCAAATTGCCTTTGTCCTAGAGAGGTAGAATTCATCCCTCCCAATTGAGAGTGTAAGCATCTAACATAGCCTAATCATCGAGTTGCTTTGCTTCCTCTATATTCAAAGGCCATTGATGGAGCCAAGCCCTTCAGAAGGCAAACCATCTGAGCTGCTCATCCTATAACAGAATGACTTCCCTTTGGGAGGATGCAGGATGACTGGTTAAAAAAAATTGCTTAAACTCAGGGAAGATTAATCCTACCCAAATGGTTCAGAAACACCATGGAACCATTGATGTGTCTTAAGCTATTATTGACATCAACAGTCAAGAATATCCCATACTCCATAACTGCAGGTTTATGCTGTTTAATGTTCATCTCGAGAGGCACTCAAAAGCTAAATTGCTCAGAAAAAAACAATACTGGTCAGCAAAAATGCCCCAGAAAAAGTAACATCTTTGCAACTGTAATGGGTTTCTGTGGGTAGGTTCTGGTAGCGGGGGAGGACTACAGGGATGGCTTCTGTTAGAAGCTGCTAGAAGCTTCCCCTGTCTGGTGGAGCCAATGCCAGCTGCCTCCAGGACGGACTTCCCACCGCTGGCCAAGGCCGAGCCAATCAGGAGTGATAGTAATGCCTCTGTGATAACATATTTAAGATCAGAAAGTTATTGCACAGTGAAAAATTCCAACCAGGGAAGAGTGGAGTGAGAACATGGGAACAACAACGTAGACACCAAGGTCAGTGCAGAAGGAGGGGCAGGAGGTGCTCCAGGTGCCAGAGCTGAGGCCCCTGCGGCCCGTGGTGCAGACCATGGTGGAGCAGCTGTGCCCCTGCAGCCCATGGAGGACCATCGGGGTGCAGAGACCCACCTGCAGCCCATGCTGGAGCAGGTGGATGCATGAAGGAGGCTGTGACCCCATGGGAGGCCCAGGATGGAGCAGGGTCCTGCTGGGGACCTGCAGCCCATGCACAGGGAAGCCCATGCTGGAGTAGGTTTTACCCAGGTAGGACTTGTGGCCCCTGTGGGGGATCCACATTGGTATAGCTCATTTGTGAAGGACTGCACCCCATGGAGGAGTGACCCACGGGACAGCAGTTTTGTGGAGAACTGTCGCCTGTGGGATGGACTCATGCCAGAGAGGTCCGTGAAGGACTGTCTCCCATGGGAGGGACCCCACGGGAGCAGGGGAAGGACTCCTCTCCCTGAGCAGCAGCAGAAACAACAACAAACCATAACCCCCATTCCCCATCCCCCTGCACCGCTGGAGAGGAGGAGGTAGAGTTTGGAAGGAAGGAGGGGTGGGCAGAAGGTGTTTTTAAGATTATTTTACTTCTCAGTCTTCTGCTCTGATTCTATTAGTAATAAATTTAAGTAATATCCCCACTTTGAGTCTGTTTTGCCCATGATAATGAAGAGTAAGTGACCTCTCCCAGCTGTTGTCTCAACTCATGATTCCTTTGCTGTTTTTTTTTCTCTCCTCTATCCAGTTGCAGAGCGGAGGAAGAGAGCAGCTTTAGTGGGTACCTGACATCCAGCCAGGGTCAACCCACTACAGCAACCATGAGGGCAAGCAGACATTAACACTAGACCTTCTTTGGCACCTGTCCAGGTGTGGAGCATACTTACCATGATGACAGATAAAAATCCACGAGTATGACAGGGCCCTTGACCACACTTGCAGGTTGAATTGCAATCGCTATTGCTTTTCCTTTCAGTAAGTTAGCTTCTCAACAGCGTCCTGGCAGACAATCAAATCACTGTGTATATGATGCTTTAAGGGAGAGATCTGAAGCATCCAGGAGTTTATGGAAGTAAAAAAAACAACAAAGAAATTTGTTCTTCAATGGGCAAGGGAGGAACCACCTTCTGCTCATCCATATAGCCACCATGCTACTTTATGTAGAAAAATTCTTTTTATATCGAGTCACACCCAGGATGTTACAGCTATGGATAGCAGAAGACATCCTGTATTTGATCCTATTTTTCATAGCTCTTGTCTTTCATAAGACAAGTGTTTATGGGATAAGATTTCTTACAATTAGCTTTGGCCTTCAGGCTACTTGTAGTTGGGCTGCTGTTTTTAAGTTTGAGGTAAACCGTGCAAAATATTTTGTTGCCTAGATATTATTTTCCTTCCGAGCAGGAGCCAAATATAACAGTATGGACTCTGCATATCAAATAACATTTGGAATCAATTAACAGGAATTCTCTTTAGTAATAAATTCTGATGGCTAATAGCAATGATTTGGGCTGGCTGACCAAGAGTTTCTCTGTGTTTCTTCCCGCAAGTTAAAAGAAATGTAGAATCCAGCAATATATGTAAGCAGTTCCAGTTATTTTTCCAGCAAAATTGTTTTTCCAGACTTACTTTCACTTGTTATAACTTGTCTTTTCACACAACTGTTGAGATCTGCTTGGTAAAAGAGAACAAAAATCCAACAAGTAAACAAACAACAAAAAAAGGCGAGGGAATGAGAATATCCTAGTGAGGGAATTTTATTAGCTGTATAGTTTTCAACAGAAGCTGGCCAAAATTTAAAATTTAGGGAGGGATTAGCCATTTGCACATTCAACTTCATTATTTCTCTGAATTCTTCATGGTTAAGGTGTAGCTTATCATTATGCCTGGTCTCCCTTGTGGGCCTGTTTTCCAAATCATGAGTAACTGTTTATAAGTGAGTTTCATTCAAATTTCCTCTCCCAATTTGCACTCTCAATTTGATCTAAAAATATTTTTAGTCGAAAGTGCTCTATAGAAGTCTCAGTCATAGAGAGTGTTGTGAGTTAACCCCAGTTGACAACTAAGCACCTCACAGCCACTCACCCCCACACACCCCCAACAGGATGAGAAGAAGGAAAGTGAGAAAACTGAGGGTTTGAGATAAAGACAGTTTAATGGGACAGAAAAGAAATAAAATAATAATAATGATGAAAGCGAATATATAAAACAAGTGATGCACAATGCAATTCCTCATCACTCAACAACTGGTGTCCAACCAGTTCCCAAGCATTGGCCCCCAGTTAACTTTCTCCACAGTTTATACATTAAGCATGATGTCATAGAGCAAAGAATATCCCTTTGGCCTGTTTGGGTCTGCTGTCCAGGCTGTGTCCCTTCCCAGCTTCTTGTGCCCCTTCAGCCTTCTCACTGGTAGTGCATGAGAAGCTGAGAAGTCCTTGTCTTAGAATAAACACTGCCTAGCAACAACTAAAACATCAGTGTGCTATCAACACTATCTCATACTAAATCCAAAACACAGCACTGTACCAGCTACTAGGAAGAAAATTAACTCTATCCCAGCTGAAACCAGGACAGAGTGACCAGCATTCTCTTTCTTATATGTAAGATTGGGCTGTTTGAAATATCCTGATGCAAATCTCATTGTTTCCCTTTTGAAAGAGAGCAGAAACTGAATCTGTGGGAAATCCACCTTCCAAGTTGTTTTGGAGTCATAACATTTAGAAACCTAGACTGCTGCAGTCCTGGATAGGTAAGCACAATGAAATTTCATTAGAATGTCATCAGATTACATTGTCTCCAACTAACATTTTTAAGTCTGAAAAATCGGAAATTCCTTCTTTAAAAAAAATAACCCTCCATCTCCCCTACTCACTGTCAGCTCTAGCAATTTTCTTGGGGCTTTATATACCAGCTACAGAACTTCAGTGATGCTGGAAACCAGCCATTTATTCAAACAATTTTGCACATCAGAATTTTTCTAGTGCCTCATACAAATTTAGTTCTCATTCTATCACTGCTTAATTTTCTTAATACCTCTTATGATGGATATGCCAATGACATTAAAGTCAAGAACTTCAGAGCAACTTTTGTTACTATTTTTCTAAAAGTCTCAAGAACGTTTGTAGATCCTGTGATGTAGTAAAATGTACAGCTCGTTTGTTATTGAAATCAGCAGCAAAAGAAATATAAACATGGTGATTTTCTGATAGTCTGACTTTTCATTAGAATTTTGTAATCTAGATATCTGACTTAAATCCTAGTCTTTGTTATGGTCACCCATACACCAAGCACAGAACCCAAAGAGGCAGTACCTAAACACAGAACAATGGGTATATGAAGAGGATAATATGCACCTGACACCTTCTGTCCCCAGTTTTGGGACGCCAATGGCATGAGAGGAGGACATGAGCCCAAACTCATCAAATTAAGTGGGGCTACTTATATTCTGTCTATCCTCTTATGCCATCCTTTTAATAAACTCAAACTTCAACCATTTTGGAGCCAGATAATGGCTTCAGAGGAAGCTGAATTGACCAAGATGAACTCTGTGTGCACGTTTGCTGCAGCCATACCCTTTTGACTGTGGGAATACCTGGGAGGGACTTGCTGTACAGGCCAACCATGATTTCCTAACATCCAGCAGCTCTTTTGATCCAGCAAGCAAATAAAAGGGATAGGAGAGGGGCTGAGGCACTTCAGGCTTCAGTGAAAGAAATCTCCTTTGAACAGAAAATACCTTCTGCAGTTATCTATGGTCTGGAAGAAAAACCTCCTGCTTGTGTCAGAAGAGCTCAAATATGTTGGTGAATTGTTTTATCACAGATGTATCTCTTCACCTTTGAAATTACAAATAACTGAATCTTGCAATTAGGGAAGACAGTACCACCTCACCTACAAGTGGGTGTTTTATAGCCCACATCAGCTAAAAGTATTTTTAGATCAAATTGGAAGTGCAGTGAGAGCCTGAAGCTGATCAGAATCATAATGCAACGGAAAACCTTACACAGACACCTGTTTCAAAGTGATTCCTGGCTCATTTGGGAGATCAAAGTGTCAGCTACTGCTGATAAACTCAGATAAGCCTCTGGAATTATGTATGCTTTACAGATCTCAAATCTCTTAACATGAGAGATTTGCTTATTACAGTTTCTTTGGGGTCTCCTGAAATTAACTGACAAAATTCCATGGTGCATAAAAGAGTATAGCTTAGGAATGACTACTGCATTCCTTTTTTCTCAGACTAGCATGCTCCCCCTCACAGATTCATCTTCCAAGTGCTCAGTGAAGTAAATTAGAGTAAATTGAACGGTGGTTCTTATTTTTTTTCCCCAAGAATTAGTGGAACAACAGCTAGAATACACACACAGATGGCTAGAATGAGTATAATTTTTCCGTGAAATAACTTTTCTCTCTCCTCTCTCTCTCCTTGTCTGTCACATATGTGTACACTATTTCCTTTTCTGATGACAAGACTGACCAGGGTGCTCATCAGCCGCATCGCCGATATTGACAATGACAAATCCCTTCCGCAGCTCAGGAGAACCTTAAATAAATTCTCCCAAGACACTAGCAGGCGTTCTCCTCCTTGCCCTGTCACTCATGGTGAAGACTGAAAGGCTGATTAGAAATAATGCAGGGGCATTCTGAAATGGAAAAAATCTCCTTGATGGGGAATAAGTCGAGACTATAAAGTGTATTTAATTCCTTCTCTTTCCTCCTTCAGTTTTAATTAGGATTAAAATGTCTCTGCTAGATATTTTGGGATTACTTTCATTTTCTTACACCATGTATGAGATCATCTGCTTCACATTAGCCTGAAAAATACTGGAGAATTAACAACTGGAAAAAAAACTGTTGGAAGGCAAACACATTCCAGAAAAATCCATAGCTCCCTTCACTTCCCCAACTTCTCCAGAACACATGCACATCAAAAGTTTGTGGCAAATGACAAGCAAAATTGTTGGCAAGAAACAGAAGCTTGGCTGGTCAAGGCCTGTCAGGGGTTTATTCAGCACTTCAAAGATATAGGTGCGTTGTCTCTCAATAACATCTCATGTTTTATAAATACAACAGAAAAAATAAAACAAAAATCAGGTGACCACAAACAACCAAGTCCAACTTCGACTCAAAGCTCACAGTTTTTCCTTGCACAGCCATTCAGATAACTCCTTTCTCCCTGCTACTCTCACGTTTTCTGTTCCTCTCCTAACAGATTCTGCTCAGGCATTGGTTCTCTTCACTTATGTAGATCCAGGACATCGTTTGAGACCCAAAACTTTGAGCCATGGCCTTGTTAGCAAGCAGCATTATTGAACTATAGCAACAAACAGGACAAAGCCTGGAGGGGCTGTGGTGTCAGCCACCAGCAACCACAAGCACATCACACAGCAGGTGTGCTACAGCACTAAAGCTACAATGAAACAGAATTGTTCCCCTTCAAAAAGGGAAAGGAGTAGGGAATAACTTGGAGGCAACAGTCTATGGTTGCATAAGAGAAGAAAGGAGAAATTTATTATGAATCTGTAGGAATGACATTTCGGTTTCGACAGCCTTCTGGGTATAACTGCCCAATGCTGACAGCACCTTCAATTAACTCTGGGAGACTACAAGACTGCATGACATTAATAATGTGCTACAATTATACAACTGTCCACAGTAGGATCTGTTGCCATGAGGGACCTCTGTAAAGAAGGTTGGGACTGTGACTCCAACCAGCCTTGTACAATGCATGGATTGGATGCCTGACTGTGCAGCATCCCCTCCAAAGCACGGGCGATTCCATATGTCCCAGTCAGCCAAGACATGCATATCTTGTCCTGTCTGAAGGGACATATGTTCAGCAGGCAGGACTCAATCAACAGGTGGAAGTTACATTAAGGGAAGCGTTGCTGGTGGATTTCAGCAGGACGAATGCTTGGAGGCAGTCAGTATAATGATGGCTAAGAAGCAGCATAGACAGACAAAATTCTTTAGTCCTCTCAAAGAGAGAGGGCTCCAAAGATATTTGAGACACCTTCACACTTAGGGTATTCAATAAACTTGTTTAATGAGATGAGGCCAGGCACAACAGGTTTATAGTATTTGATTATATGCTTTGATGCAAGATACTAAACCAAATGGAGAAATGAGTCTACTTCAATACGACAGGTTACATGTTCCTCTAGATTTATCATTTTAATAAGAAAGATTAACTTTTCAGAGCACTTCGGTTAGAATTTGTCATGATGACGGATGATGCTTCTCTTGATTTCATAACAAATTCTGCATCTAAAAAGCATTTGATAGTTTTTTGTGCCAACTCTGGAGCTATACATCTACCTATCTAAGCTAATTTTTGGGCAGATGTGGCCCCAGGAACACTCATACAGTTATTTTGAAAATATATCCCCCCATCTCTGGGCACACTGGATCTGCTGGTTAGATTGTCTCCCTTCTTGTGAAGCTCAGGTTGGTCCAAGTTTTTCTGTGAGGAACATCTCAGAACCAGCAGAAGAAAGGGGGAAGGGAATATTCAGTGTTTACCTTTCCAGGTAAAGAGTAGTAAGCTTTTTAATTGATAAAACCTCCATTACAAGAACACGCAGTATATGTTATTACTGTCGGATTTTAAAATCCAACTTGCTTTTATTCAGGAGGATTTTGCTCCTTGACAAAAAATCACACTGTCCACTTTTTTTTTTTTTTCCCCAGTAAGCAAACATTAAAATTGTTTGCAAGTGCACAGTTTTTTAACTATTGCACAAGACTCAAAACTTGGAGACCGAAGACAGAAAAAGAGGTTATGAGACAGTAAAAGAAGGTGTCTTGAGTTAGGAGAGAGTATAATCTAGCCTCTACAAAAATACTACTAGTAATTAATATTTATACAACAGAGGTGGATTCCCTTGGACATTTTCCTAATTGTAAATGAACCTGTTAAGCAGAAATATAGATTCTGCACTGTTGATCCCATTTGGCCTGAAAAATCCCAGTACAGCTACATAACAAGTCTTTGATTGCTTGCTCTAGCTGATATTGGCAAATGCTCAAGCACTGAAAAACCCAAAGAAGATGCTTTTTGATCTCTCAACACATGTGTTTGCCACAGGTGTCTATCTCTGATGGGTTCCCAGTAAAAAACTCACTAGCCTAAGTGCTAGCAGGGGGAGTCTGTTTGGAAGCTTCTGGCACGTTGGCTGTTCTCAGGACAGAAAATTTTCAGTTGCAAACTTGTGCCAGTACTTCTTAAAAATACCCAAGTGGTCACAAATATCTGTGTCCCATGTTGAGCTCTGTTGTCCCTAGGTCTTCCTCCTAGCATCATTAACAAGACATATACTGTGGAATTCAAACACAGACCTGGAGGAAAGCAACTTGCCAAAAGGTGGCTGAATAGAGGAGCTGTTGAATGAACAAAACCTCTCAAGAAATATCTGCTCTCATATCATTGCTCCCCAGTGGCGGATCACTGCTACAACTGTTTACATCCTGTGTTTCTGCAAGGCCAGATGCAGGAAAGTTATATCAATTTGACCTGAAGCTCTTCTTTAGAAGGATCATACTTTACTCACCTTATAATGAAAGAAGCTAGTAATTATGTGTTAGGATGTTTTTAATCCATTGTTCTTTGTATATTTTAACAAAAGTGTGAAGCTATTCCCTGTGAGTAGAGAACAAACCATAATTAAGGGAAGTCAAGACTTAAATGCCCAGTGGCTCCAGGGTTTTTAGTGCCTGGTGAAAGATGCTTACAGTTCAGCCTTCAGAGGTTTGAACAGCTGGTACTTAGGGCATATCCAGGGAAGCACAGTCAGGTTTCCTAACCCCAAAACATCTTTCTAGTTACTCAGTCACATTGTCTCAAAAATTAGGTATTATTTTTTCCTCTGCTGGCAGTCCTGCTTTGCAAACACATTATTCACTCCAAATTCCCTTGGAAAGTCATGATGGGATTGACTTTTTCCTCTCATTAGCACAGAAAAATTAAGGTAAAGCACGGACTCCCTGAAATTCTTAATAGATTATTGAAGTCAGCAGGCATGCCATGGAAATTCTCAGAATACTTAGCCTCTTTTGTAAACCAAAGGCTAATATATGACCCAAACAATTATAGTCTGTGAACTTTCACAGACAGCCTGAAGGCAGCTGTAGAAGGTAAGACAGAGCAACAATTTGGAAAGAACAGCAGGCAGCGAACCACTGTCTGTCAGGATAAAGCTTCTCTTAGTTCATTAGGATCAAGAGGGAATCAGATAATTGGAATGTGCTTTCACATGTATAAAGCTTTTGAAAACACATTTGAGCCAGAGTGTTTTCTCTGAGGCATGGTATCACACTGCTAAAATTAATAATTTCTTAGTTCTTGTTCCTAGCAAGGTAGGAAAGAAAGAGGAGGAGGAAAGTTATCCCTGTTAAACATCAGCCCACCTGAACCAAAAACAGTCCTAAGGACTGTGAATGAGAAATGCCTGGGTTTGCATTTAACTCTGCGCAGCATTTTCAAAATAAGGGAAAAAAATAAAAATAAATTAAAAGCAAAAGTGGCTAGGGAAGAACAAAGCAAGCAAATTGTGACTGGAACATAGAAGAGGGTGCAAACTTCAGTAAGAGTTTCTGATGCAGCATTACAGCTTATTTAAATCAAAGCCTTTGAAGGGCTTTCCAGCAAATACACCATGTCATTTCTGTAACAGTGAAATAAAAGTTGCTTAAAAAAAAAAAAAAAGAAAAGAAAGAAAAGGAAAAAAAAAAAAAAAGAAAAAAGCAGTCTTTATGGTCACATGAAGCCAGACCTGAATAAACAAGTAGAACAATTGTGTGTTTCTTTTCAAAGAAAATTAAATGTCTCTTTTTTATCTTCTCTGTGCTGTTTTGCTGAGGCTTAGGAGAAACAGAAATTTGAAAGCAAGGTGATCTGCTGGTCTGGTTACAGCAGAAATCTGCAGGACAAAGAATGGGTTTCTGAACTTATCCTAGGAGTGAGGGGAGGGGGAAAAAAAAGAACAGCTAAGCAGGATCTACCCCAGACAGCTAACAAGGGTGAGATAGATCCAAACAAAAACCAGTGTCATGAGAGAGTACCTGCTAATTAATTTTAAATCTGGTGCTGACAGACAGCACCCATGTTGATACACACTAAACCAAGTGAGTGAAACAGAGCAAGACACTGTGGGGAAAGTAAAAAAATAAACAAATAGATTAATAAATACTTTTCTTAAATCTTAAAATAATATATATACACAGTGATAATTTAATCAAATTGTTTATTTACGTATTAAAAATAAATAAAGTATTGTTGTTTTCCCATTGGACCACTTCTCTTCCATGCTTATCCTCATCTGAGGTAGGATTCTATGTTTCTAAAATGGGATTATCCCAATGAAAGATCAGCACATAGCTGAGTTTGGAGATGCAGTTAATCATCCAGACAACTTCCTCAGTTAGTCTACAATCCCAGACTGAAAATCCGTTTCACTAGAAATAGTTTTACTGAATTAAACTGAACTTCTAAAAAGTCAAAGGAGATTTTATTTTTATAAACATATATGTGTATGTATACACACACACATATACACACAGCAGATGGTTTCATCTCACTGCCTCCTG